AATGCATACAAGATTCCGCTCCCTGCGAGGGCAGCCAAAAAGCGAAGAGCCTGCATGCAAAGGATTTGGAGGACAAAGAACAGCCATCACCTGGTTCAATGTTTTGATTATGATGTATCTGGGCGAATTGAGCCTCTACAACACCTACTGTGCCGCTCGTCAATGCAAAAACATGCAAAAACTATCAAAAACCATGATCACAAGTGATGAACAAGAAACCTGTTGTCGCTTGGTTGAACTTGGCACTCAATCCAACTTCAAGCCTGCGAAGGATTCGGATTCCGGCAAGCTGTGAAGAGAGCCCGCCACAAGCCCTTCACCTGACAAAACCCGAAGAGTGTGACAGGCCCGAAGCGACTGTCGTTGCATCTTTACAACATCCCGATCCATCCGAAGTATTCCGAAGTCCTATTTCTTGGGGGTCGGACAATGGGTGGCAATGGCTGATCTTGGGGCTGGTGGCCTAGTGTCTGGTCAAATTTTACCGATTTCCAACTCAAACAAGGTTGCAAGTAAGCAACATTGGAATGACTGTTTCATCAGGCAAGTGACAGCCTCGGACGTGGGCAAAACACAGACTGCTTCGGCACAACTCACTGCGTCCTCACAGCTCCATGACGTAGCCGAAGCTGCAGCAGCCTCGGTCAGTTCGAGGATTGGTTCCGCAGGCTTTTCAAGAATCCGGAACAAACTTCCAACTTTCTAGCGGCACGAAACACAGGGACCATACAAGTAGCATGATGTAGCATGGTACTGGAGTGGCTCAATTCAGCCCCTTCTGGCAGTGGTCTCTTTCTTATTTGTCTCCGATCTCTCCTCCACGCACAAGGGCTTGTAGTCTCTCTTTTGAGCCATCCACCTTTCGATAGCTTTCGTCTGTTGGATGATTTGGATGGGTCGCGTACCGGAGCGTTAGCAAACCTAGTCGCATCAAGGCCTGGCTCGAAGTCGAAGTCTGCTTGCCCAAGGAACTGGAGCCAAGGCGTTCACCACATCTTGATCTCCTTCCAAGGTTTGAGGAGCCAAACCCGGAGCATGTCACCATCATTCACCATGTCTTCGATTTTGCCAGGGCGATTTCGATGCCAAACACCCGCGAGAGAACATGTTTCACGTTGTTTGAGCCACGTTGTATGAACCAAATGAATCCAAATCATCTGTATAGACCTGAAGGCAATTTGCAATGCACATCGCCGATTGGATCGCTGCCACCAATCCCTTCAGAACACTACATGGAACAAAATGTAAAAAATACATCAAGAAGGGCTTGAGTTCACCCAGTTGTTGATCCCACCGAACACATGTAACAGTGCACCCGGATCTTCCCAACATCTCCTATAACGCTCATGGCCTGGCCCACTTCACTTGGAAGCTGCAAATCTCCTTTGCCTGAAAGGGCGTTGAATCTATCCCGGTGGAACTGGTCATGTGTCAGTACCGCAGTGTGGAATACTATAATGGCAAATGTAGGCGTTTGTCGAACAAGTGGTCCCATAGACTCATTAAATTGGGTCATGGTCCATTTTGCCTGCCTGCAATGGAAATCAGCATGGCTGCAATCTTCTTGCTCCTGGGCCGCTTGCATCCGCTTGCAGGGTCCATGCGACCTCCTTCTCTACGAGAAGCATAAGAAGCGTAAGCGCAGTGTTAAGTTCAGCCTGTCAGAACTGTTGTACGAATTCTTGTCTTGCAACCAGGGAGCCGTGATCAAACGTCTTTGCATAATGCATTCGAGTGGCTGTTGTTCTTCTATGAAAATGGATGCGGCTGCGAGCTTCACCAAGGATTTGGCATCACCTTGAGGAATGGTAGAGTTGGAAGAATGATACTCGCGCAAACCTTCAGCCCACCATGAGCCCTGCTGTGTGCAAATCCAACTCTGAGACTAGCAGAATTGTATCAAGCCTCCATGCCAAGTTGATTCTTGTACCTTTTGCAGTTTTGTTTTGATTCCAACCGCCAAGTACTATGCCCTATGTAATGTCGATTCCAATGATTCCAAGCGTCTTGGAAGAGAAAGCACCTGGCAATAGCAGTGCCAGTGGTAACCACGGCATGAATCCTGCTTGGATATTACTGTAGTCTGCCATGTCGGCCCTACGAACGACATGTTGCTAGATTTTTGAAGGCTGAAAAGCACAAAGAAATCACCCAAAGTCGGGGTTAAATGAAGAACATCGAAGAACTCATTAAATGAACGTGGAACAAGCACTGATAGGGTTCTTTATGGTTCCTCATCTCCAGTCATCTCGTCAGGTTTTCAAGGTGATGGCTGGCCTCGCAGAAAGGCTTCGCTTTGGCTGGAGGCAAATGCCGAAGAGCATGCCACAGGAGAATCGAATCAACCTATAGCCGACATTGGCACACAGTGGAAGGGCAAAACGGACAGGGATTCGTGCATGGGAAACATGCAGTGCTCTGGCCTCCTCAAGTTCTGCACGTCTGAGAAAGCTTTTGGCAGCCAGTAGAAAATCATCCTCCGCCACAGAAGCAGCCTGGGTGAACATGATTCTTGAGTTCAACCGCAAGCACTGCCTTGAGCATCACAATCTACACTCTGGACCTTTAGACAAACATCGTTAGACCACAGTGCAAGGACTGATTGCAAAATTGCCAGTCATGATTAGAGTCTGATTCAAAAGGATCCAGTGCCCAGTTGCGCCAAAGGCTGCCAGGCAGGCCACCACGTCCCGGGCCAGAAGAGGCGAGCGAGGCGAGGTCTCAACGGCCGCCAACGTGCATTTGTTCTGCGTCATTTTACGTCCGCCAGCTTCAACCATGAACCTGACTAGCCTACTTCAAATTGAAATGGCCAGAGCTACTGTTGCAAGACTCGCAGATCTGCCGTTGCACACTCCTGCTCCTCATTATCCAAATAGATTGATCTCCCGCAGTGTGTCGCCTCCATATGCTGCAGCAAGGTGGCGCTGAAGTTGCGCATCGACTGTGAGCATCTGAGAGTGGCCTCAAAGTTCTAAACGAGCCATTGATCTGATGTTACTAGTCTCCGCCTTTGTTACTAGTAGCTTCTTGCTCCTAGTAGTAAGGCCAGGAGCCCCTAGTAGCGTCCTTTGCTCCTAGTAGCGATGCCAGGAGCCCCTAGTAGCTTCTTGTTCCTAGTGGTACATGGTAAACAAAGTTCTATACGTCTTATACTCGCGGTAGCAAAAATGGTCCAGCCACCTACGGTCTTGTTTTGGCAAAACTCATTCTGCGTCTGCCCGAGTCGGCAAAAGGCAACAGTGGTAGTCTCGGTTCTTTTGCGTCAACCCACAGCGGCCTTGACAGAGCTAATGGCTAATGAGGCAGCCTTCCAGTGAACAGAATGGTCATTTTCGAACCCTCTCTCAACATCTTCCCAACTCTTGTGTAACTTGCAAAAGGGCAGCCTCAAGTGGTTGTAGCTGCTTCTGCCGCTTCAAGGCTTTCGCCAGCGGATTCAGCACCTCCAAAACTGCCTGAAAATGACGCACGCAATCGACGTGCGAGCGCTACTACAGAGTGCGCAAGCACAATAGAGAGATTGAGGAACCTTTTGGGAAATTCCGCTCAAATACTGTAGCCCTTTTGCAATTTCTTGACTTTCCTCTACAAGTATACAATCCCAACAACATGACCACATCCACATCTCACTGCTGATTCAGCAGCTGGGAGCCTCACTTCACAGGTGGCGATCGCCTCTGGGTTGTGGAAGCTTTGGAGTATGGCCAGCTTCTGCAATCGACCAAGGCCATGCCTGATTCGAGAAAACCTACGACATCAGACCCAAACAACGGTGTTATGATTCATCTCCTTCCTTGCGACATCACACCATATCACATCTGCTTTTTGGCTGCCCGTTAGGCTAAGTAGGATTTAAATAGGGTTATAATCTGCTTTCATATGGTAAGGCCAGAATCCTTGATTTTAAAAAGAACCAAAAAAAGTCAACTGGAAAAGTCAAAGTCAAAAAAAAGTCAAATTGAAAAGTCAAAAAAAGTAAAAACAAAGTCAAAAAAGTCAACAAAAAAAGTTCAAAAAAATAAAAAGAAACAAACATGTCCAGTAAAGCGACTCAGGAGCAAAAGAAAGCCGGCATATATATATATATGGAAAACACAGGCAAAGAGGACAACAACATTGAACTAAACTAGTAACAAGCTCATAAGTCAGCCAAGGCAAATTGCAGCCTTTTTGCTTATGGCTTATGGCTTTCAGTCAATTAAACATTCTATTCAACTTTCACCTTTTCCAGCCCCAAGCCAGCCCCAACCCCCTACCCCAGAGTCGCAGGACCCCTACCCAGCCCCAGCCACTGTCCCAGGGGCTAAGCCAGCCCTGTAGCCACCCCAGAGTCCCAAGTACCCAGCCTTTTCCGGCCCCAGTTTCTTGACTTTTTTTTTTTTTATTTTTTCAACTTTTGATTTTTTTTGACTTTTTGTTGCCTCCAGTAATCCGCCAAGGCTAGGATCCGCACATTTGATTTTTTTTGATTTTTTTTACTTTTCCAATTGACTTTTTTTTGCCGGCCCAGCCCCGCATGCCCCAGCCCGCCTGTAGCCTGCCTGAGCTCGACCTCAACCTGACCCCTCCGCCAGGAGCCAGCCGCAGCCAGCCCCAAGCCTGGCCCTGGCAGCAACCTGCCCCAAAATTTGAGCAGCAGCTGGCTTGGGGCTGAAGAGACCCTGGGACAGTGGCTGGGGCTGGGTAGGGATCCTGCGAGGCTGGCTTGGGGCTGGAAAAGGTGAAAGTTGAACAACCGAAAAGGTTCTAGAATTTTGAATAGACTGAAAGCCATAAGCCACAAGCAAAAAGGCTGCAATTTGCCTTGTTACAAGTTTTTCCTTGACTTGTTTGCCTATGCAAAGTTTTTGTTTGATTTTTTTTGGACTTTTTGTTGACTGTTGACTTTTTTGACTTTTTTTTTGAGATTTTTTTTGACTTTTCAATTTGACTTTTTTTTTTGACTTTGACTTTTGGGATTGATTTTTTGTTTTTTTTATTTTGAAAACATGTTCTTTCCAATGAAAGCATTTTATAAAAATAGGGAAACACACATGTATAACTATATATATATATGATATTTTATAATCAAGTTCACAAAACACATGCATTCTGTTTTTTTAAACCAAACATGGCAACTCTAAAATCACACAGCTATATATGTATATACTATCAGCTCCTAAGACGGACTAATCCGTTGGCTTAACGGCTTAACATTTCAAATATAGAATAGTCTCGCGTGTGGGGATTGGCGGCAAACTTGATCTGAGCTGTAGGCAGTGTCGTCGCCAGAGTGAGCGTATTCAGCGCATTGGCCTCCCGGAATGCATAGGCCACAGTAACCAGAGAGCTACAAAGCCTTCGCGTCGACTTAGAGTTGTGGCCCAGGGATCTCCAAACAAAGAGTATCGCGCTCTCCGATCTAAACATACATCTTGGGGGCTCATGGGAGTTCTTACGTACATTCCTGGTTTACGAGGTTGTATATGGGAGCTAGAGGGGGGGCTGGCCAGATTGTGCACGAGTTTTATCCGGATTTGAGCCTGGTGTGCCAGACGCTTCAACAGCTGTGGTGTCCACTGGGGCACCCAGGGCAAGGCCACAAGCACAGATGCGCAAAGGCTGGGAGTAAGGCGGGACAGCCTTGCAAAATTTCAATCCACAATGTGTGACTTCAGCAGTTCTTGTCTGGCCATTGAATGGGGAAACATCTCCGTGTTCCACTTCAGGCAAACATGCTGCATCCACATGCCCCTTCTTTCAAAATCCGGATGCAAAATGCAAGCATCGCACTCCACACAGTTCTTGGCAGGGTGCTCTGGTTCCAACTGGGCTAGCAGCCCAGCAAGCTTCTCTCTGTCCTGGCAAAGTCGTGAATCCCTCTCTCGATCGTTTGTGAGGTCTGCTTGGATACTGTATTCGAATTGTGTGAAAGCTCGCAGGGAACCTTTTCAGCTCAAAATGCGTAGCGCCATCAAATGGCTTAGGCCTATGAGGGTAAAAAGGCCGCGGTCAAACATTCACGATCAGCCCAACATCAAGGGACATTTCTCAGTGGACTCCTTCTTTTGTTGATTTTGGGGCTGATCATCCGGTGAGAACACACTGACCAACACATCGGCGGTCTCGCCGATCAAACCGAGTCTGCCACCTCGCACGTCCTTCTCCAACAAACGCCACTCATACTGGCTTTCCGAGTCAAAACGAGCATACGACGACCTGAGAGGGAACAGGCTTTCATCGAATCTTGGAGAGGGGCTACGAAAGGATCTTGCAGACCTACACACGTGGGTTCCGTGTGGATCCTGGAAGCGCCAACCAGGTTTCTCTGAACCGCATCAGGTGGCTCAGCATCAGATCCGTTGCACTCAGAGGTCGACCGGGGAGAGATGGTCCCTTAGGAGCTGCTGCCTTCTTGGGTTGTGCAGTTGGTCGAACGAACTGCGGGTTGAACTTCATGCTCCACAGGCCGCGATGCAAGACCGATCGCAAATGGTTTGGTCGCATTTCCTTCGTTCCACAGTCTATCAACATGTTCTCTGTTGACGTCCAGTGTATTGAAGTGGCTTCTCGCTGAAGAACCTCTCTCAACCATGCGATCGTGAAGGCAAGCAATTTCTGGCTGCCATAGGTATAGGAGTGTCAGATGTATTCTTATCATATACATCCTTCGCATCGGTCACAAGTGCCAGCGGAATTGCAGCATAGTGGCCATTGCCCTGCAGCACATTGAAGCCTTGCACTTCAGCGACCAGAAAGTTCTGCGCCGTGAGTGGAAAGGCAGACTCGGGTCAGGCAGTGACTCCGAGCGTCGAGAACCCCCTACAATTGCCACCTGCTTGAGGTTGCTGATTGAAGGATAGGGGAAGGGCACATAGCGCAGCCATGGCCGCCGACACAACCATAAGCAAATGCCTTGCGCGCGCCAAAGCACTCTTATTCGAAGGCACCAGAAAACGGCGTGGCACGGTGTCCTTGTTGTCCATGATTCCGAGAGGTGAGGCTCGATCGGGTGCTCCTAGTAGCGATGCCAGGAGCCCCTAGTAGTGTCCTTGCTTTCAAAAGAGCCATGCTTCGGGACAAATCAACGGAATCACCTTCATGAACGCACATGCCAACAAGCTTTGCTGCGCAAACACTATGCTCTGACAAAAGGTAATCATGATTGACGCTCTGCACTGCCAAGAGTTTCCAATGCAACCAATCATGATGTGAAATCTGCGAAGCAACAACTTCGTCTAATCCAACACGTCTCCTAGGCCTGGGCCACCCAGGAGGAATCAACCGCAGGGCAAAGTGTCCTGCAGCCAGCTGATGCAGAGGAATGTGCTTATGATCGGCTAGCATGATCTTCTTGGAAAAACTCAACGCGCAACCAACGCCATCCAACCAATCCCTGCCCAGACGTAGTCCAAGGCTGCCAACTGGAATAATAGAAACCCAGGTGAGGACCAAGTCTGTACCAATGACCATCGGCAACCGAAACCTGACAGAACTCTTCTGTGTTCCACCATCTCCGAAACGCGGTGCTCAATGCAGAAAGATGATGATCCAACCACGCTGTCCCACAACAAGTCCTATTGCACGCTGAGTCCAACGCACACATCAACCTTTTATCCATAGACAACGATGCAAGCTGACTGACCTGCACTTCATTGGATTGCTTCAATGCTTGCGACAATGTTGTAGGGCAAGAGACAATGTCAACACTTCACGAGCTTCTTCCGCAGGTGCGTGGGGTCAGCGGTCAGCGCTGTAGTCAAAGCTTCTGTGACACGCACTTGCTTCTGCTGCTTTCCAACGTTGTTCTTTGGCTTGTACAGGCCTGCGCCTGGGTTGGGACAACCATGATCTCCACTCCAATGACCTTGCTGTCCGCAGTCCCAACAACTCGACTTGGCTTTCTTGCCGTTGACCTGGTTGCCAGTGAAGCGGGACTTCATTGAAGTCGGTGTAGTTGGCGTCTTGCCGTGTCCACGATCTTTCTTGACCTCTGCAATCTTGTGGCGAGCCTCACACATGGTCACCAAGGATTCAGCAGCTTGCTTCGACTCCACTCTCAAGAGCCTCCAACACATCAGGCTCAAGAGCCTGAATCTCTGCAGCTGACACCTCGGCTTCAGCCGTGAGCACTTCTTCAAGATTGCCGTTGATGCCCTCGGTTTGGTCGGGCACCAACTCTGAGGGCTTGAAACTCTTGTTTGAACTGCCTGCAAACGAAAACGACCGATACGTCCGAGTCCCAAACGACGACGTCCCTCCACTCGACGGCAACGATGTCCGGTGTGAAGATGCTCCTGACTGCGACTGGCTAAGGAAGCGGCTGAGCAGCGGTGAACGATCAGTGGCGCTCTTCCTATGCAAAGGGTCCTCGCTGTGCAAATCACGGAAGAGTCTCAATGCTTCAGCTTCAACTTCCTCATAGGATTCACGACCTCTCAATGCTGTATCCAACCGTTGAACTCGAATCGCATCAAGGCCCAACCGATTGCGCAAGAACCAGCCCAGCTCCTCACTTGGCAACTCACGACGCATCTCCGAAACCAGCGTACGGAAGCGAGTGCAAAAGGTGCTAATGCGCTCTCCAGCATTTCGTTTGAGGTCTTGGTAAAACAGGCGTCGAAGTTCTCCTCTTCGATCTAGTGTGGTCCTGCCCATGCTCTCTTCAAGAGCCTTCATCAACTTGCGAATGCCCTGCCATGGATCGGCAGGTTCCAGAACCACAGTCTCGCCAGAATCAGGATCAGTACCCGTCACTTCAGCTTTGCCTTCCAGCTCCTCCGGGGTGAACTCCTCGCAACAAGCACGAACAACTCCAGTTTGGCGTAATGTCCAACGGGCAGCAACATTGTACTTACTACATGAAATCGCATCCATTGAAGCCATCCACCAACTCATCTCACGCTGGAAGCTTCTGAATCCAGCCGGGTTTTCATTTAATGTGGGCACTCTGTACCAAGCCGACGATCCCTTTCTTCATCGGCAATGGTTCCTCGCAAAATGCAAGGATGAAACAACTGCAACGCAAGCTGTCAGCAAAAGTTGAAACACAAGCTCCTCCGACACACCGACCGACTGTAGCTAAGCCAACAATGTAAGGTCAATGTACCAGAAACAAATTCCAACAACCAATGTCACTGGCAATGAACGCAGCTCACAACCAATGCACAATGTTGTCAACCAATGCACGCGGAGTTCAGGGCCAACGCCACCCAAAGGTGGCCAACGCAAAACAGCAAAAGCAGATCTTCAAGCTCCGCTACCACTGTGAAAGCTCGCAGGGAACCTTTTCAGCTCAAAATGCATAGCGACATCAAATGGCTTAGGCCTATGAGGGTAAAAAGGCCGCGGTCAAACATGTGCTCACGATCAGCCCAACATCAAGGGACATTTCCCAGCATGCGAGCTGCAGAAAATTGGCCAGATCAAGCAACACAGGACACCTAAAAGAGGCAACACACCAACCCATTTTCTTTGAGTTGCAGAAAGGAGAGAGGCTTTGCAACCCCACCACTTTCCGCAGTTCCTGGGAAGCTTTCCGCCGCGATAGGACTGCAACAGAGTTCACGATCTTCTCTATATCTGGGGTCGTTGGCATTGCCTCGCAGCAGGCGGGTGAACTTCTATTGAATTCTGGTCCACAAAGTTGTAGTTGGCTTGTGCACACCAAAGTCCAAAGGAGTTGTGAGAGAAAATGAACATGAAATAACCAATCACAAACCAATACAGTATATAAATAAACCAAGTCCATTTCGCATCTTTTGCCCGAGTGACTCCGGTCCGTGTTGAATCAGGTCGCACAAGGCCGACACCTGGTTCAAGACTGAGAAGGCGTTCTGATTTTTTTGATAGATACATATATTATATTACATTACGTTACCTTAATGTGCCTTTTGCTTACCAATGGATCCAACTCACAATGTGCCTGCTATGCTTGCTGCTCTCAGCAATGTACTCAAGGCTTTCTTGAGTCTGCTTTCGTTCATCGCGTTTCACTTGTCCAAGGTCCTGACGCGCCATCAATTGTCGCGGGCTGAGCACCTCCTGGGCAAATACCCAGGTGGTGAATTCTTTGTGCTTCCCTATTACTTCGTTTGTATTGCAAGTACCAAACAAAACGGTCGTACACCGTAGCCCCCCCCCCACAGGCTTCCAGGATGAGGCAATGATCACATGAACCACACGTGCCAAACTTAAGCAAACAATCATCTGCTACATTTCGTTGAGGCAAATCTTGTGCCAAGATTCTACTCCATTCCACTACATCATTTCTATTCATTTCTTCATGCGGAATTGCCCGTCCTGCTGAAGGTTGGACTCGTCGGCGACCGTGTTGTCCTGACTGCAGCCTGATGCTTACGTGGGTTGAGCCCTACGTTATAAGCACGGATTCAAGAAGAGGTATTCGTTCTGACCCTTGCATGTACAGTAGCAGAGGAGAAGGTTGAGGACTCTATTCACATTCCATTCACGTTCAAACTCGCAACTTGCAAGAATGTCTGACTCTAAAGATTGTATAAGATTGTTACAGTAGTGTCTAAAAAGACAAAGAAACAATATCAAACTCTATTCCCAACTCCAGTGTCTGGCATCCTGTAAGCTTGAGACCTGCCTGTCTCTTCTTCGGTGCTTAGCTCTTGCTTCGCGAGTTCTGTGGCCGCTGCCGCCGCTGCCTTTGCCTCATCAGCAGCTCCCTTCGTCTCTGAAGGTGTCGTGCTGGTCTGCTCGTCTGCAGGTGGTGGGCCTCGTCCCAATCTCCGTGGTCAGGGCAGGACATGGCAAATAACTCTGACGAGTTGATCAAAAGCATTCAAAAGCGCCAACCTGACGAGCAACTCTTGATATTCTCCACGGATGGCCGCCGGACTTCCCGAATGACCTGTGGTAACAAGTGCTATGCTGGCTATGATGCAAATTCTGTTGTTGCCTTGGATTCAGGCTCTGAACAATTACGTTTGCTCAGCCGCAGACCTCCCCTTGCCTGGCTCGAAGATCTTTCTCCTTTGCGGCTCGACGCAGGTGCTCCTGCCGGGTGTCCTCTCGCTCCTGCAAGTCTCATCTACGATGGCGTGCATCTCTTTGCCGTAAACATCAATTGACCAATGTGTAGCCGTGCTTGGGTGGGAGAATGGAACATCTCAACATTTTGTGATTGCCTCAAACCAAATATATAAATGATGCATGCAGCTGCTCTGAAACACTCAGAAACATACTTGTCTCCCACACCACACATCCATCCTCACAATGTCTTAAGAGTCCTTCCGTCCCTCTTTGATAAGCTTCTCCAGCTGTGTCGCCTGCATATGTAGGGACCTCAGCATTGCGATAGGAAGGTGCTGACCAAATCCATGGAACTTTAACTTTTATTGCACCATCCTTGACAACTCCTAGCACTCCATGAGCTCGAATGGAATAATATCTGACATCTGCTTTAACAAAAACCCCTATATATATATTATAATGTTGGATCCTGATTAGTAAATGGTGCCTCTATAATGCTAAATTTTTCCAAATTTTTTCAAACACCCCTGTTTGAAAATGGTGCCTCTATAATGCTAAATCTTTTTTGGGCCCTAAATTTTTAAATTGGAAACCCAATTAATAAGGGTTTGAATTCCTTCTGAGGCCAATGATTATGATTCATTAAATTAGCTGATATAGCTTTCTCTATGTTTCTTCAAAACTGACAGCTGACCAAAACCACCAGTTCCCCAATTAAACCCTTTATAAAACATTGCTCCTAAACAAATTTTCAAGGTAGTAGACCAGGAAGGCACCTGATCCTCAATAATAAATTTGTTTTTGGGACCTCAATTGTGAAAAGTTTTTTTTTCCACTGGAAAAAATGCACATGGAATCTCCCTTTACTTAGCTGCAAAGCAAAAGGATTGCTGAGAACAATTACAAAGCACCTGAGAAAGGAAGCTGCATACAATCTATGAAAGGAAAATTAATACTACAATCAATTACAAAAGATCCCTCACCAGGAATCCAGATTTGTTTTGGTGATAGTCTATTATAGAGGACCTCCTGTTTGTTTGAGGGAGGGGGGGGGCCCTATTTACTAATCAAGCGCCAACATTAATGTAATATATTCCTGAATTTATCTATAAAGAACACACCGAACGTTTCCGTTGCGGGGCCACAAAAAAAACATCCAGATCGTCAAAACCATGCCAAGGAACTCATCAAAAACGGATGCATCCACCCGGAACCTCGAACCTTTGTCTGGAAACTTCCGATGGTCCTTGTCAAGAGGAAATGCTTCTGGCGCTTCTCTGGTCGTCTAAAGAAACTAATGAATGTGCAGTTGGCATGGACCGCGCGCTCTTGTTCACGTTCCATTTGCATGCATTTGCAACAACTCTTTTGTTATATACTATATAACATATATATATATATATATTCAATATTGGATAACTGGAAATGCAATGATATGCATTGATACTACCCTGCCCTTCGAGCGACTCCCACCCACCCCGAGAGGCGATTTGGAAAACGGAAGGACATATTGCGTTGACAGACCTGACACTTGTTCTGCCTGACACGTGTTATGAGAATAAAACTTGGCATCTGTTCTGGCATGTATTCTGACATATATTCTTCTGACAGTGTTATCAGAAACTCGTGTCCATCATGTAAATATTCTGACACCTGGCCTGTACTGACATCAAACCTTTCATGCGTTCCGAAAATCGTCCTGACACAAGTTCTGCCACGTGAATGTAATCTGACAATTGCTCTGACATATGTCCGACATATCCTTTCAGAGGCCCGTGACACAAGTCCAGCGTTGACAAACAGATTTGGGAGACCCGTGATGTCCAGCACGACACTGTGACTTTTTTGACCTGTGAAGTATGTCGCGACACAGTGAAAAAGGAGAAGGTAGAAGACCCTGTATAATAAATTCTGAAGATCATATGTATGCAAACTCTGGATTGAACCTAACACTTCCTGCTTGAAGTTTCTCTCCCGCACAATGCAAAGGCTCCTCTGTCGGAGAGTCAAAGAGCGCCTTGGTTCGAGAATGGTTTGCCAGCCGTCGCAGGCGGGTGTTGGTAACGTCCTGGGAGGCGAGGTTGGTTGGATGATGCCCAATTGAACCATATGTGCACACACACATATCTGTATATTAATATATATATATACATACAAATATTCACCTCTATCTCAACTGGTCCACTTAATTTTCTTCATTTTTGTGTTCTTTAAATATTTTGTGTAATATTAAACATATGTCGCAAGTTTCGCTCCACACTTCTCCTCCAAATATCTGGAACCTTGCTCTGTAGCAGATTTCTGCGGCCTGCGCTTGAAATGTCTACCGACATTGGTTTTTCGCCTTTTTATGCGTCCAACGTACGTTTCAGTCGTGTAGTCCTGCTCAATAGATATGTCTCAAGAGGTGTAAGGGCCCCTTGATGAGGGCGAGGCACCAAACATAACAAACGAAAACATAGAAAAAGAAACACACAAATGGAGATGACCAAAAAAAATCTAGTGATGTTGCACCAAAACAAAAAATCAAACCCCAAAAATAAGAAGAACCATGAATAAACAATGAACAGTAACCTGTGCAGTGGCAGCGCCAACAAAGCAGCAATAGCAGTAGCCGCAAGAACAATCCTACTGTACTTGTACTAGTATTTTTAATCCTATTCGCCTTCGTATTCGTCGTCGTAGGAGTAGGAGGAGGAGGAGGAGTAGAAGTAGTAGTAGTAGTCGTCGTCGTCGTAGTAGTCGTAGGTAGTAGACAGTAGGTAGTAGACAGTAGGTAGTAGACAGTAGGTAGGTAGTATGGAGTAGTTAGTAGTTAGGAGCTGGAACACCGCCCATAACCGGCCGTGGTGCTTTGCGCCTTGTTTAGAGATTGTCGTCGATTTCACAACAATTTCAGCGACATAGTTGGTACGCTGATTACGGTGGGTATCTAATGTTTTCTGTTGTTAGAAAACGGATGATTTTCGCGTCATGTCTGTGTAACTGGAAAACATTGCTGTCTATGATGCATGAAGAACGTGTAATTCATTGATGCGTTTTAAAAGAAGAATCACTGCGCCATGGTCTGTACGGGGGGGTAGTAACGCTCAGTATCTACATGATTCCAAATGTATCTAAGCTAGGTCTGTTGCTAAGCGACGGATGGTCATCGCCTCATGTCTACTTACTTGACGACATCGTTGTCTACGATGCACGAGTAGCTGATGCACGTAAGAAGAATGAAAAGGAGCTTGTGCGGCACCAGATCCCAAACAAACAATGGAATACATAACCCTAAACACTTCCAAAGCCTCGATGGTTGGGGGCGACTTGAATTGAGTGTTGACGTGTCAATTCTACTGTTGAGTGCGCAGGAGAATTGTTCCGCTATGTACTTGCGCCATTCAATCCTTGAAGCCTGCAAAGCGCTGAATGAATCTTGACCAAACTAATTACATGCATCCAAAATCATCCAAATCATTTTGCTGACCAAAAGCAGAATTGTCATTTCGCACAACGGCCCGTTATGGGCGGTGGACCCAATAGTGAGTAGGCAGTAGGCTGTAGCAGTAGCAGTAGTAGTAAAGTAGAAGTAGTAGTTAGTAGTAGTCGTCGTCGTAGTAGTCGTAGTCGTAGTCGTAGTTGTAGCCGTAGTGGTAGTAGGTAGTAGGTAGTAGGTAGTAGGTGGTATAGGTAGTAGTAGTAGTAGTAGTAGTAGTAGTAGTAGTAGTAGTGGTAGTAGTAGTAGTAGTACTAGTACGTAGTACGTAGTACGTAGTACGTAGTCGTAGTCGTAGTCGTGGTCGTAGTAGTAGTAGTAGTAGTAGTAGGTGTAGGTGTAGTGGTAGTAGTAGCAGTAGTAGTAGTCGTCGTCGTAGTGGGAGTGCGTAGTAGTGAGTAGTGATACATAGTAGTAAGTAGTAATACGTAGTAGTAAGTGGTAATACGTATACGTAGTAGTAAGTATAAGTAGAAGTAGAAGTGGGGGTAAGAAGAAGTAGCGTAGCAGTAGCAGTAGCAGCAGTAGCAGTAGTAGCAGCAGCAGCAGCAGTAGTAGTAGCAGTAGTTTCAGTCGTCGTCCTCGTCGTCGTCGTCGTCGTCGTCGTCGTCGTGGTAGTAGTAGTAGTAGTAGTAGTGGTAGTGGTAGTAGTGGTAGTAGTGGTAGTAGTGGTAGTGGTAGTGGTGGTAGTGGTAGTGGTAGCGGTACGGGCAGAAGTAATAGTAGTAGTAGTAGTAGTAGTAGTAGTAGTAGTAGTTAGTTGTAGTAGTTAGTTGTAGTAGTTAGTTGTAGTAGTTAGTAGTAGTAGGTAGTAGTTAGTAGTTAGTAGTTATAGTAGTTATAGTAGTAGTAGTAGTAGTAGTAGTAGTAGTAGTAGTAGTAGTAGTGGTAGTGGTAGTAGTCGTGGTGGTGGTAGTAGTAGTAGTAGTGGTAGTGGTAGTGGTAGTGGTGGTAGTGGTAGTGGTAGTGGTAGTGGTGGTAGTAGTAGCAGTAGTAGTAGTAGTAGTACGTAGTAGTAGGAGTAGTAGTGGTAGTAGTAGTAGTAGGTAGCAATTAGTAGGCAATAGTCATAGTAAGTAGGCAGTATAAAATATCAAAAGTAGGTAGTTAAATGTAGTAGTAGTACGTAGTAGTAGACGTCGTAGTAGTAGTAGCAACGGCAGCAGCAGTAGTAGCAGTAGTAGTAGTCGTCGTCGTATCAGCTGTTTCTTCCTCCTCTAAATTTTACCTCGGGTGGCTCACAGAAGGTATGCTACGTTGTAATGGTCTTTCTTTCCCCCTGTAAATTTTACGCTCGGATGGATGGCTCGCAAAAGGTATGCTACGTGGGAATGGCTCTTTCCTCTTCTAAATTTTATCATTGCATGGTTTACAAAAGCTATGCTACGTTTCATCAATGGTTCCTTCCTCGTGTAGAATTTACCCTCGATTGGGACACAATTGGTCCGACAACACTAAAAATCGACTTCGTTCGCAGAACCTAAACATACCTAAACTCTCTCTCTCTCTTTCTTTCTGCTACCTTTCTTTTTTTCTGTCCTTGTTGCCGTTGTTGTTGTTGCTGTTGCTGTTGTTGTTGCTGTTGTTGTCGTCGTCGTCGTCGTTGTTGCTTTAAATCACTGTTTGCTTTTTTTGATTGTTGTTTAATCCAACTCTTTTTTGGATGCCTCTCCTGTGCCTTCAGCCACCTCCTCATTTGAGTAACACCGGCTCGCCCGAAGTGAGCACCGTCCCTGTCGGGACGCCTCTTTGGAGCCAAGCTCGGTTCGTCGTCCTCTTCGAAGCGGGCACTGAAGCGGTCGGAAATGTGTCTGCACGTCCTGGGCAAAAAGCGCCATGTCGAATGCACGCAGCCATTTTACAAATCCTCTCGCAGGGTTGAATTTCCACTCAAAACATCCTATCACCGAAGCCCAAGGGCACCAAGCAAAGCGCCACTGCGATGATGTACCATTTCTTCGACATCGGTGATCATTCTTCGTGTGTCCTTCCGCGAGTGCCCAAGAATCCACGTGCGAGGGCGCGCATTGCGCCCTCGGTGAAGGCTGCTCCATGGGTGAAGGATTAAGAGGCCTGACACAAATTGACCTCGTCCGCGAATACAATTTTACTGCACCATACTGTACCCTTTTCCTTCAAGTTGAAAGGTCGAAACGAACACCGTGATTATCGCTGATCTTTCGCGGTTCCTTTCTACAACATGCCTGGCTGGCCTGCAAAGGCTAGGCACAAACATCACTTTTACTGTTGAGCCTTACAGCTTGCGGCTCGGCGCGGCAAACACATCTCAGAATCACAGGGTTACACTATGGTTTTGGAGCAAGGCAATCAGGAGCGCAAGTCGTTTTGCAAGAGCGCTGAGTGGCAAGAAAAACACCTTTCTCAAGAAAGAACATCCTAACATCCTGTGACACAGTTGATCAACTTTGGATCAAGTGTGGCAAACCTTAAGGCCCTTCTCAGGCTATTAGGTGGAGGCCATTGCTAATGGAAACAAAGAAACAATAAAAGGAACACAGGTTAAATATAGTTTGCTAGTAGGTTGGAGGCCTATTAGAAACAAAGAAAGGTCAAATAAGGTTGGCTAATATATCTGGATTCTCCATGATTCTCCGAGACTCTCGGACGCCTCGGTCCATCTGGCCTTAAGCCAGCTGGACTTGACTTCCGGGCGCCGGATTTACAGCTGTCTGTGCTACCTCTTGTCGTGCATAGAAGGACCTTTGCACTTGTGGAAGTCCACAACAAGCCAGGATGGCGAAGAAAAGAATCATCACCTCACGTCTGAGCATATATCGGGTCGCCTCTAAACAATTTTGCCTTGAAAACAGTGACCCAAAGTGTCACAACCATTCCCATTGACCAGATTTGATCAGCCATACCGATGCGTGCGTCCCAAAAACCTGCTTGCAACTAAAATGATTGTCTGATGTTGTCTAGTCTGGTCTGCTTCTTCTCTTCCAAATCGGGGGTTCATATTTCAGATGGGAATTCTGGTTCATGCTAGATTGCAGCCAGATCCTTCAAAAAATCAATCTGGGAACCAAAATCATTAGTGCGAGCGTGAGCTATCCTGCGTCCGGTAGTAGCAGCCTCCCCGCTCGAGGTCTTGACCGTTTCGGACCGTTTCAGGCGCCGGTGTGACACGTTCTCCGCCGGGCCACCGTCCCCAGAAGCCAAGAGGTCCACGCTCCAGGCCACCACTCCACCAGCTTCGGGCCACACACGTAGTGCTGGGGAGCACCGGCGATGTTCGGATGTCCAACACGTCCCGGACCGTCCGGACCGTTAGAGGATTTCGCGAGTTCCCCGAGGTCCCTTTTCCCGCAAACAAAAAGGAGCATGAACATCGACATAGAGGGCCAATTACATGATTTTGTTACAAGGCCTTGCAAGCTCAGCAAGCACTCTTCCTTCAATTGAACCATATTATAACTTATAGCTACAGAAAGTTGCCTGGCTCCATCTGGCTCCTCTGAGGTCTCATTCTGATCGGAGATGCAAGAAACATCGAAAAGGGGATGAAACGGCTGCCAAGGGTCTCCAATGGTCTCCACCTGTCCCATCCTGTCCCGCTCGCCTCAGGGTTCTTGGGGCATACATATTCGGCTTTCTGCGGAATGGCCGCCAAAATCTGCTGTCTGACCTTTGGCCTCAAGCTGCGCAAATCTGCAAAGCCGCAGCTCCACACCACAGGAAGCTGAAGTTAAAGAGATGTGTAAAAACAAAGGTTCGGGCCATCAACGAGCAAACATGTCGTCTGCGTTAGTAAGGAGTCCGCCCGCAGTTTCCATTTACAATACCAAGCAACGCGGTGTTAAACTGCCAAAAGTTGTGAAGAGAGTCCGCTTCTGCCTGTTCCTGTCAATCGTGCATTCTGGCACTTGCATTGGTTGGAGATGCTGCCTTTGCAAGTCTTAAACAAGCTTTAATCATGTTTTGTTCATGCTAGTCTATCCCCTATGCTGCTGACTTCAAACCTCCCAGGCTCTTACTATGCTCCTCTCATGACGCTCCGAAGATCAACTTTCAACCCCAAGAACGCTCGGTTGGATGCCTTGGACTCCTTTTGTCTCACGAGTGCGAAGCCAGAGTCCTGCAGGTCCGACACATCGCTACGGTCTACAGACCGTCTGTCGACCGCTCTAGACGGACGTTGTAGCTTCAGGAGAATATGTTCCATGGACAGCCACATGCAACAAGCTGAATCATTGACAATATATCGGACGGCTGGAATGCCTGTCCTGACTTATTGACAAACACTTATTTACCAACCGAGAAAAGAATCAACAGTAGGTACGTCTAGTAGTATTGGTTGCCACGGCTAGGCAGCTGAAGTACAGCTCGTCCAAACCTCTCCTTCAGTATGAGCAGTGTCGAGTTGCTTATCTGATCTCTCTTCATCGATGCAGCATCTGGAGTTGGTGTCTCAGCGAGAGGGAATGGCTGAAGGTCGGTGCGTTTTGTTCGGATTTTACGTGCTGTCTGCAGGCCACCAAGGATCTCAGTTCATCTGGCAGAGTCAAACATTGAAACAACACTCAACACTCATTGCAAGTTGTTTTCTCATCTCTTGCGGTGGGCCTCCAAGCTCAACAAGCAAACTTTGGGTCTGATCTCTTCGATTCAGCCCATCCGAGACACGCATTTGTGAGTGGATTCATTCACACTGGAGATGCATGAGCAATGAGCGAGTGTCCCGCTTTCCGAGAACACCTTAGGCCAGGCCAGCCAAACACGTAAAGTTCAAGCAGTTGGCGAACTGTTGAGATTCCAACACCTCAATGTGCAAGGCATGTCTGTTTGTGCAAACCAAGGATCACATTCCTCCTCTCCCTTGTCATAGTCGTAGGTGCAGCTCGCTCCTCACTTTGAAGGATGCTCTAGATATATGTTGCTTTGATCTTGAACGTTCGGCAGCAAACAAGTGGTTACAGTACAACAATCTGCATAACACCAACATAATTGCTGATGGGCATGTTGTTACTTTGCTGCTCGGCATTACAAACAATACGGTGCGGCCATGTACAAGAGTCGAAGCTACCACCAATTGACAAAGGAACCACATTCAAAGTATTCCAACAACTCCAAGCTCAAGGCTCGTGTAAAGCAATCTTTGATGTCCAGTTCCGATTGAAAGGTGCAGAATGCATCATAGGTACCATGACAAATCCTGCAGGCGCGAGACAATGAACTACAAACACTCAGTCATGAGTCTTGAAGCACTAGCTGAAGGACAAGAAACTAAATAGGCTTGATCTATCGGCAAATATTCTTAACCCGTTTTTGAGGAATAGATTAAAACATGTCCCGTGGTAGCTGCTTCAAAGTAAGGCCCAGCAACTTGAAAGCAACCTACTACCTAGAAGCGACTGTACTGGTTGAAATTAAACATGTGATGTGGCACAACTTTTCCAAAGCCAAGTGACACCATTAAGATCCAACCAATGAACCTGCAGCAAATATCAGCAAATCGGAGATGCCAAACAATATCAAACAAATTTATCCAAGACTGTTGGCTCTTAAAAGGGATAGACTAAAACCTATGCGGCTGCTCCCCAAAGATGGGATCTGAATCTGCGGAGCCAAAACTGAGAACATGGCTATCTTGAGACGCAACTCGCTGGGTCCGAATGATTCCTGTGGACACAACTGGCGATAGGCCTGGATCCCTAAAGCTTGCCATAGGCCTGGATCCCTAAAGCTTGCCAAGGTGCTTGACAAAGGGCCGCTTTCGCTCCGAGAACATAGAGATGGAGAGGAAGAATGCGCATGTGCCTGTTGACACAAATCGACAATATGGTTTGTCAAGAACCAAACAACCAAAAGCGAATCACATTTCTGCCAGCTTGGACACCAACAAGTTTGTTTGCGTTGCTGTGCAATCATGTGTGTCATTCCATCACAGGATGTTGACATTCAGGAGATGTTTAGAATTCTGCGAAACAATCAGCAGCTATCCAGCTATCCATTCAAAGGATTTCAAAGGTCCTTTCACAGCAGTTGACAGCAACGTCATGTTCTTGTCGTTTCTCCAAATTAAAACAAAAGCCACTTGCCTGTTTGGCTTGGTATTTAATGAAGTAAACATACTGTGATGTATCACGCCTGAATTCCTTGCCACAAAACACACATAACCTGAACACAAACCCATCCAAGCAACATTTTCCAAAAGCAGACTCTGGCACCTATCATTCCCTCCATTCATGTAAGTTCTTCCACCATCCCCTGATGAGAGAGAAGGCTGCCACCATATGTCTTGGTTTGCCTACTGTACTAGTACTTTCTCAGAATTCCCTTCCACGCTTGCTTCAACCTGTCCGTCCTTGCCTGTCATTGCAACGTGGAGTATGGCCGTGTAAATCCGCACAGTTGCTGGCAAAATGTTGTGGAGCTGCTTCACCAGGCCAGAGATCTGAGCAGGTTGGCATATACCGAACAACTAAATGTCTGAATATGCAGCACTGGCCAATCTCGATTCTCCTGCGGTTGCCAACTGATATCCTATCGGTTCTACCTGCTTGATTGACACAAACCTATGAACAAGATTGAGAGCATTGCACATGCATACGTGAAACATTCCAGATAAAACGTTGGCTTTCTGTACCAACGAGCAATGCACCCTCTTCTAGGGCTGCTTCAGCCAATGGTGCTTTTGTGTTAGCTGCTGCCGCTGTCGCTGCTGAGATGAATTAGGGCACGCAAGCGGCTCGACTCGCTGTTCAGCTGTTCCTGCTGCTGCTGTTTTGGTTTGTCACTACTGTCATCACTATTCCTAACAAAATGTCAGGATTCAAAGCTATGCTGGCTCAATGAAGCATTCAAGTGGCCCTTTTTACAAACCATTTTGTTCTGGCTCCCAAGCTTAGCATTTCAAGGTTGTTTGGACTCCGGCTTGATCCTACGATCCTGAACAAAGCCAACTAAAATCTTGCAAGGTACAATCTGCACAAGCGCATGCGATTCCCATCAAATTCTTCGGTTTTCCAACGAAAACGCCAATGAGAACTCCCAAACGAGCCTTTCATGCTACAGCTTGAATCATCTGAGACCTTTGATTTCTACTCATGAGCATGGACCCCCGAAAAGAACGCCTGAAGCAAAGGTGACAACCATGAGACCTCAAAATGGTGACAACATGTGACAACAGAACAACACACTCCAGAAGTTGAGAAGGCAGGATGTTGTAAGGACAGGTTCAAGGCTTGAAAGGACCTTAATTAATGAATCCGTATGTTTGCCTTTGCCCAATGGATGGATGTTGTTTACAAGTGTTTACATGCTGGTACTTGAAATTCTACTGCTAGGGGTTGAGCTTGACTCTCCGAGCAGGCAAGCACCAGCGATGATACCATGAACGTGAAGGTGGCTAGCTTCACATTTGAAGTGGCTTCTTTGCAAGCAAAGTGCTTGCTGTGACGTGCTGTTGATAAGGCAGTGCACTGTCTGGACTTGGTGCTTACTCATGAATACTCATGTCCACAGTGGCACTGTTTGAGTTTTGGATCAAAGGCTCAAGACACACCAAGTTCTCTCCCCGAAAGGATCATTGCAGCCCTTAGATCTGCATGGCTGGCGAAAGTCTGGCCTTGGCGATATACTGAACATTCTCCAGCGATCCAAAGCCTCCACCAACTGCCATGCCGCACAGTACAACGACTGCAGGGGAGGACGCCATTTTCCTTAGAGCTCCAAACAGTGCCGTCACTAGGGACTTGCAACCTAGTCGAGATTGGAGACTTTCCCTAGGTGAAGGCAAGTTTGAATTCGTTACCCATTTGATTGTCAAGCTGTGCAACTTGGATCAGTTGTGGGTTGACAGTTGACAGCCTCTGGAATGCCAAATAAAGGTCCTGGACACTGGACAGCCGAACTTATTTGGTCATCTGCCACCTGCTTCAATCTGGCCAAGCAGCAAGAACCAGCCACAGCAGGGCATGCCTGATAGCTGCAGCTTGGACACGCAAACTTGAGGCCAGGGGGGAGGAGGTCGAAAGCTAGCTGAATCGCACCGGATGTACTATTTACATAGGCGGCAAAGCATGTAGTGTTTACATGTTTTGGGAGAAAGATTGCTATGTACATACTTTGTGCTAAAGAATGTAAATGTGACATCGCCGACTGGGAAGGGTACATTGGAACAACCGGGTGCACTCGTTGGCAGGCACGAAGATGCGTGATCGGCAAAACTGGGGAAAAATTTTTACCCCCTGCTTATGTATGCCTTGAATCGAAAGAGGGGTAAGCATTTCTGGCATCACAAGGACTGTACATACACCAGGGCGTCCTAAGTGTAGGATAAGCACTGGCAAAAGGTAGAAGGAATAGAGTGTCTTGAGGAAATAGCCGGTGTATGGTTATAACAAATCTGGGGGGTAAATTTACCCCCCGGTTATGCATGCATTGGGGAAGAAATAGGGGTAAACAACTTGTAACAGTGAAGTACAAGTCCTATGCTTAAAGCGCAGCCTTGTATATATATGTATATAACACTGAAGTACTATGCTCTAAGCCCTGCATCTTGCAAGCACATCCATGCCAAGGCCAAGATTAACTAAACAGCGAAAACAAAGAGCCCCTGTATGCCTGCAGCTGGGAGTTGAACCGCCGGGAGGGGTTGGTTAGCGTGATATATCAAGCTTTATCAAGCTTTAAGGCACGCAGCTCATCCCACTACCAATTGCTAAAGCAAAGAAGAATCAAGAAGAACTCAGCGCACTGCGGTCGTTGAGGTCAAAGCTTACCATCGAGATTTCAATGAAGTGGGATCAAGTGGGTATGGACATATACTTAAACTAAGGTGCACTATGGAGGTGGACGAAAGGTATAGAGCTTAGATAGAGCTTGGCTGCTTAGGAGCAGCAGCAGCAGCAGCAGCAGCCCAGCAGCAGCAGCAAGCAGCAGCCAGCAGCAGCAGCAGCCGCCGCCTGCAGCCAGCCAGCAGCACCACGCAGCAGCAGCGCAGCACCACGCAGCAGCAGCGCAGCACCAAGCCGCAGCAGCAGCACCACCAGCAGCAAGCAGCAAGCAGCAGCATCAGCAGCAGCGGCGTCGTCAGCAACAGCAGCAGCAACAAGTAGCAAAGCAGCAGCAACAAAAGCGGCAACCAGCGGCAGCAGCAATCAGCAGCAGCAAGCAGCAGAGCGGCAGCAGCAGCACCGTTTACACCAAGCCACCGTTTACACCCAACCAACCACATTCACACGTTCAACCAACCCCCGCTACACGGTGCAGCTGGGAGTCGAACCGTGGGGGAAAAATGGTAGTTCTGGGGAGTTTTGGTTCATCAATGGCTCTTCAAAATTTGTGTTGAGCCTTTGTCGTTTTTCTGGGGTTTTGTTATGCGTGTTTTAGGGTCATAACTTTCTCTATCATTGCTATAATTCAACGAGGTGGATGATTGTTTAGGTTGTTGTGTTTTGTTTTGTGGGTGTTTTGAGTTTGGGGTTTATATTCCCATAATGCCAGTTTCATCATCCTCTCCATTTCTTATAACTTTTGGCTGTTCTTTTCCTTTTACTTTGTTTTGATGTTTGATGCTTTCCTCGTGTCGTTTGACTTGATATTTGTTTATGATGCTTTTGCACACCGGACATACTAATGTTTGTTCATTTTTACGATAGTAGTATTGTCTGGCATACTCTCTTAATTTATCTTGGTTTTTCTCCCTGTATCGTTGCTTTGCTTCCAAACATAATTTATATTGCTTACAATCATTTTTGAACTAGTTGAGTGGTTGAAAAACCTTACACTTGGAACATTGCTTTTTGTCAGTCATTGTATCTCTATAAGTTTAAGGGGTTATGTCTTTAAATGTTTTTAAGGGGGTTCTTTTGTTGTGGGGGTTTGGGTTTAAATCGTAGTTTTCTTTGTTGTCTCCTTTGTTGTAGTTGTAGTGTATGATTTCATCCAACAAGTTATGACATCTCACCATATCACGCATACCATCCTTTTCATATAGTTCTCTACCGTATTCTCGGACTATATCCTTATTCACGATGTTTTCATATATGTAGTTCTTTTCAATATCCTATAATCATAAGTCGTTCCGAAAACTTTAATACCTGTTGATTTGTCTTTTCTCACTGTCTCTAACTGTATGTCTATAAATGTATCTCTGTCTGGAAAGGGGTTGTTTCTGATGAAGTCCATAATGTGCTTTTCTTCCCTTTCTATTTCTTTCTGTTCCCAGTTATCATTCTCACTATCAATACCAACTTCAATATGCAACCCTAAATTTGCTGAAACATTATTCATATCATAAACTTTCGCACTTGTCATTTTTCTCTTAATATATATAGGTACATTTTCTTTAAGTAATTTTGCTGTCTTGTTTAGATTTCGGGTTCTGGTTGGTTTTCCTTTTTCCTTTCCTCCTCTTCCAGTTCCTTTATCACTCTATCTATCTCGTGTAGTCCTTCGTGCTCGTTTCTTCCATTCGCCAAGTTCCTCAACCTCTCAAGGTCTTTTACACCTTTCCTTTCAACAGGTGATAAGGTTTTAAGGTGTTCCTTCATCTCTTTCAAGTCAAAGTATGTATCCCCCTCTTCGTCTTCACTGAACTGGTTTTCAGAAAACATTCTCATCCTTGCCTTCTCCATCTCTAAAAGTGTGTTTTCCATAAACTGGAACTTCATTTGTCTCTTTCCACACTTCCCGCATATTCACGAAGGTCTTTAAACAATATGTACAGTTTGGTTCTTTCCATTCATTCAAGGAAATAACTTGTCATTATCCGACATCCACAGTCAAATTTAGTCATCTTTACTCCCTTACTTTTATATATCATGTTTTCTTTAAGTCTATTATATATATATTCTTTAAGAAACTCTTAAACTCTAAACCTATAGTAATGATAATGGCAAGAAGATTAACAAAAGAACAGATATAAGCAATGTCTATTACGACTTGGAAAAGGGTTTCGGCCCGAAACCCTTTTCCAAGTCGTAATAGACATTGCCGGTTTCGGGTCAATTCAAAACACCCTAAAACAAGCAAAAGAACAAGACCCATCCATCACAAGGGTAGATGTGGAAACCTTTATGCAAAAACAACCCAACAAACAGATTAGAGGCTATAGAGGTTCAAACTCATATACCGCTCCGTTCTCAAGGTTTGAGTATCAAATTGACATAATGCATATGAAACCCTAATACAAAGTTCCGGAGGCAAAAATACAAATGAATAATTCCGAGCCACCCTATGCTTTAGTCGTTATAGATATTTTTAGTAAGATGGCCTATGAAGCAGAGAGACGGAGAAACGGTCTTACCAGCGTTGAAGCAAAGTTTTAAGAAAATTGGTTTTCCAATGTCAATATACAGCGACGATGACGGAGCGTTTCAAACGGTAGTGTCAAAGTTCTTTAAAGACGAAGCCATCAATCACATCATCAAGAACACACGCCAATGTCGTGGAGCGTTTCATCAGGACACTTAAGAATATGATACACGACAGGGTCAGGTTCATTAAGGCGGGATGGACGAGTATGCTTCCGGCGGTCTTGAAGAAATACAACAGCACTAAACACTCATCCACAAAACACACACCCAATGAAGCCCACGATGATAAGAACCATATGGATGTAAAGGTCAATCTGACAAGAAGAGAAAAGAACACGAGGAAGTATGAGGAGATAAAAGAAAACGATACAGTCAAAATCTTCACCAAGGGCAAAGGCAACTACACCGACAGGAAAGAGTACAGCAGCAAATGGTCTAAAGAAAACTACAAAGTCAAGAAAATAGAATACGATAGAATACGACAAGAAGCTAGTAGTAACAAGTGCATCGCTAGTAGTAACAAGTGCCTTACTAGTAGTAACAAAACAGAACTTTCCAACTGGAAGGATTGACTAAACCGTTCCTTCGGCACGAGATACTATGTTACTACTAGCGTGGCACTTGTTACTAATAGCTTCTTGTTACTACTAGTAAGGC